TTAGTTACTATGTATTAGGGTTAGTTTGCCCAAAATGCCTTGGCATGACAGTGGCTATCTTTGTACTTAGCAAATCAAAATTGTAATTACACATTGTAACATTTACAAAGAAATAAACTTATTATAATTATTAACCCTTTCAGGGTCCGTCCCGTAGATCTACGGCTTCACATTGAGTGTCCAAACCGTAGATCTACGCCAAAATTCTAGTGCCGTCAAATTTAGCGTGAAAACGCTCATAGGCCTACATGTGAGAGAACAGGTCTGCGTGGTGGGTGTGCGCCATAAACAAAAAATCTAGGCGCCCGCATAGCATTGTGGGAACGCCGGCTCAGTTACCCTTGTTCACCATGCCTCGTCGCAAGTCAGCTCTCACTCCCCGGAAAATTGGGACTCTCCTCTTCCTATCTGATAGTTCTGACACTGATGGAAGTGGAAATGAAGACGAATTCTACGGCTTTGATCAGTTAGTGACCGAAAAGAATGACCAGGATATCGATAATAGTGCAGAAACCCTGACGATCCTCAACCTTCTACCTCTGGTGTGGGCACTCGTGACTCACGGTCGGTTGTTCCTCATCGCAAGAGAAAACTAATATTTTCGCGTGGCCAGTAATGATGATGATAGTGACGTGGACTGTGATTTTATTGCGCTCGACGATCATTCGAGTAGTGATAGTGAGGAATCATATTCACCAGTGAAGCGTCGGTATGTTCGCCGCCGCATGCGCTCGGGTAGTGTACCCTATGCTGTGCTCAGGGGACGGAGTACATCCCGGAGTACATCCCGTGGCCCAACACCAGTTTTAGGTAGTGATAGTGAGGATGATGTGGCTACACTTGGCATGGATAGACCACAGGCATCAGTGGATGGTGTTAGTGGTGATGGTAGTGGCACCGCCAAGCGTGACTCACCAGGCCACGCTGCTGACTCGTCAGTTCAAGGACAAAGCGGAGCGCCAGCCACCAGCCCACCACAACCACCCGCACAACCAGCCTATGATGTCCAGGTATCCACCAGCAAACCGTATGTGGGATTGGCAGCAAAATCCCAATTTGTTCCCAAGCCTCACTACTTGATGACTCTAAAGTGGAATTCTACCTACTTGGTCCCCTTGGAACCACGGCCAATGAACTGGAATTCTTTGAATTATTCTTCGACCAGCCATTGATGGAAATTATTGTCAGGGAAAGTAATAAGTATTTTGAGTACACCATGGCAAATACGATCTTATCACCACAGTCAAGACTACACAGGTGGAAAGAGACGACTGTTGCAGAAATGTATTTGCTTTTGCAACAATAATGCTTATCCCTCACATCTAAAAGCATAATATAAAAGATACTGGTCCACAGATCGGCTAATTTTACCCGGTCTTCAGTGAAATCATACCAGAGAACAGGTTTATCTTACTCTTACGTATGTTGCACTTCTCTGACAAAACCAGGCCTGACAGAAGTGACAGGTTATACAAGATAGAAATGTTTTCATGTATCTAAAAACACAAGTTCAGGATATACTTTTATCCATTAAAGGGAATCTTGTAATTGACGAGTCTTTGATTTGTTCAAAGGTAGACTATCATTCAAGCAGTATATACCGAGCAAGAGGAAACGCTTTGGTATAAAACTGTTTGTACTCGGGATTGTGACAGTGGCCTGGTGTTGGATATTGTTGTATACCGGGTAGTAAAACATTGTAAGATACCAAGATGTTATTGGGTATCTCAGGTGACGTAGTGAGAAACATGATGGCACCTTATTTGGTAAGGGGCACACATTATATACCGATAACTGGTACACAAGCCCATTACTCAGTGATTTCATGCGATGTGAACAAGACAGATGTGTGTGGCACAGTGCGTTCTAATCGTAAACATATGCCCAGGCTCCAATGCAGGTGCTCGTGGTGATGACGTGCAGGTGTTTACTGCCCAAAGACATCATGGCTTACGGTGGCATGACAAACGAGATGTCACATTGTTGACAACCATTCACCGTAATGAAAATGCAAGACAGTGGCAAAGTTGATCGAGCGACTAATGAACATATTCGAAAACCAGTGACAGTGATTGATTATACACAAAACATGCGCTTGGTTGACAAGTGTGACATGCAGATTGGTTTTTTTTGACTGTGTTCGTAAGAGTTACAAGTGGTACATGAAACTTTTCTTCCATCTCATGGACATTTCAATGCTCATTGCATATATATGTACCAAATAAAGACTGGCAACAGACCACCGTTTTGGTGAATTTTGTTTGTCTGTTGTCAGCAACTCATAATGAAGTACCAGGTAAGAACACCTGCTATACAAAAACGGTCCTGAATTCCCCAGGATATACCCAAGCGTTTGAGGAGGGAAGGTGATCATTTCATAATACAGATTCCTTCAACTCAGAAGAATTTGCTCAGAAGAGATGCATCGTCTGCGCACAAACAAAACGACGGCAACAAAGACGCAAAGACACTCGGTTTATGTGTGAGGAATGTAAGGTGCCTCTGTGCATGGTGCCTTGTTTCAAGGAGTTCCACAAGCTCCAGCAGTTCTAAAAAACCTTTTCCAGTGATTGTAAATATGTAAATATATGATAGAACATTAGTATTATACAAGATTTGTGCATGTTTATTGTAATAAACAACAGTGGTAAACAATAATATGATAATAACTTTAGTGCGGTTATTGTGTTCAATACATTGAGTTTATATATATACATTATATACAATATTGGTCTCTCAGGCCCCAAATGTTAGTAGGAATAGAAAAAAATTGGAAAAGAAAAGAAAAAACAATAAAAACCGCAAAAAATGTAATGCGCGTATGTGGAATTCGTCGATGTTGCCGCCACCACATCATTTTTGACAAACTTCTTGGCACTGTATCTCGGTAAGTACTGATCAGAATTTTTTTTTTTTGTCTTATTACCTTCACAAAAATATGCTCTTTAATTCTGTAAGAAAAAATAATTTTTTTTTTTTCAAAATTTCTTGGACACTAGAGCACCACTTCAGATTTTGGCCTTGGACCCTGAAGGGGTTAAGATACCCAAAATATCAACAAGGTATGCTAGTTCTAATTCTGACAGTTCTAGCATATTTGTGAAACCTTTTTTCCCTTGAGACTAGGTAAAAGACTAGATAAAAGTTCAAAAATTGTTGGCTACATTCCCTGCAGACAACCACCGTAAAGAAGTGTAGAACAGCAACACCTCAAAGTCGGAACCCATATTCTGGAATAATTTTCTGAACAGTCTGGTGTTCACTGAAAATAGTGTACAAGTGATCATGTAGTGTTTTGGATGCCAGTGCCTCTGTGAATGAAACAGTGAACTCCGGTTACCAACAGAGCACGCTGTTTCACCAACGCTTGAAAGCCTGATCTTGGGCCTAGCATCACAGGTGCACCATCAGTGGTAAAACTCACCAAATTTACCCAATCTAGACTATTTAATTCAAAGAAATTGTTAATAATTTCTAACATCCTGAGCCCTTGTGGTGGTATCAAGAGTCTTACAAAAGAGAAACTCATCTTTGAAGTCTCCTCAGCCATGTATCATGCAAATACCAATAGTTGAGAAGACAGCGAGACACCAGATGATTCATCCAACTGTATAGCAAACAATGGAGATTTCTTTATTTCATCCACAACTTACTCACTGATGTTTTGTGAGATCTCATTTATCCGTCTCAACACTGTGTCATTAGAAATCGATATATCATTCAGCTTCCATGCTACGCCCTCACTGACAATAAGCCTCCCCATTTCTTTTGCACAGGGTGGCACAAATTTCTCTACAAACATATGAGGCTTCTTGGCCTGTGTGACTTTGTATGCGATAATGTAGGAAGCGTGCATTGCATTGGCGGTTTTTTCATAGAATGTACCTGTTGCATTAAGGCACTGCCGCTTGAAAAGTGATAACTGCCGCTCAAAATAATCACTATCCTTTTGCAACAAATTGGGGTGGGACTTTTCAAGATGGAGTTTAAGCTTAGCTGGCTTTAGTGAGTCAGTCTCCAAAACTTTGAAACTAATGGCACATTGTGGTAATTCCATGCCATCTTTTTCTTGACAGGTGAAGACAAATTTAGTGTAGTCCTCTGAATACTTGCACTTAACATTCATTCCTGCAATTGTCATATATCTATTATTATATGTTAAGTTTGGCATTAATAAAAATATGAAAAACAGAAGATAATAATACACATGCAATAATAAAACACCATCAGTTTCGTAAACAGCATAAACCATCACAACACAGCATAAAGCAGCATAACAACTGACCAGAAATATTTCACACTATTCCAATCTTCCTCCCAGCTTCCTTTTATATTACATCAGCTTACACCACACCTGTAAAACAGTGCATCTTCTGCACTAAACAATCGAATTACGTGCAGTCGAGTGGCAGCTGACAGGAATCAAACAGGAATGGCCCACACACTCAAGCACGCACACCCATACACGATGTCACAAACCAACTGTCTCAACATGCCAGGTTCACGTGATATTGCTTCCGCAGTTTGACTGTCACTGCAGTAAACACGGGCGAATCCATTATCCAACCACCCTCCATTCACACTGGTCAATGCGCATATTGCTGATCCACACTTTATTTTCAATAAATTTAAGACTATATGCACCAATGTTCAGTTTATTACCAAATATAGTGAACGTTCTGTGGACCCCCTAAAATGTCACCATGGGCCACAAATTGAGAACCACTGTAGTAAAGTGAAGTGCTAAACCCACACAGGTGACAGCACATGCCAAGAGGAAAAACTTGAAACTCTGGAGGTTCATTTCTCCAGTAAAACAATAATCCTATACAAATTATATTCTGGCAGGACAATTATTGAGTTAATGATGGTGAATGTTTCGTTTTTTCTAACCTAGCAACTTTGCCAAATATTGCTATAATACAAACCTCAATAATGTATATTCAGTAATTTAAACTTTTTTAATGTGACTTGTTAAACTCAAACAGAATTCTAAATACTTTTCCATATTATCCCCAAAAAGTTCTTCTCCATCTTCCTCTTCCACTGGCAGGTCATTCCCCAAGAGGTCACTCTCATCCTCAAAAGCCGGCAGGTCACGCCCTGGAGAGGAGGTCACAGGGTCAACGTTTGACCCCCGGGAGGATCGATGGCGGCGGCGGCTTGACACACTGGATGTGGCAGCCTCAGGGGAACTCATGGAAGCTGATGGTGATGTAGGTTGATCCTGGAAAAGCAATTATTATTATCCAGAGGAAACATTAAGCATATAAGAGTTATACAGATTTTAGGGACTGATAGTAACCATATAGATGGTGAGGTGCTAAACCATGTGATAATATGGCAATAGTAAATAAATAAGTTAGTTAGCTAGTTAGCTTGGTAGCTAGCTAATTAGTTAAGTTTATTTAGGTACAGGTACACAGGTACAATTATCATACATAGCATAAATTATCTAGTAGGTAAGTTATTAAGTATACATATTTAGGTACATATTTTCCACTGTGATTCATGTAATATCTTATTATTTAAACCTTAAAGGTTAAAACAGTCAGCAACAACCATGTAAAAAATCAGTCATAATGAAAGATGTAATAGCAATAAAGCAAACCAAAGTTAAGATTGTGTTCAAAATTTTCACCCTGGAGGATTAGCCACCCAGGATAACTCATGAAAGACAGCATGTCATCGAGGACTGTCTCTTATTTCCATTAGTAACTTTACTCAGGTACAATAAATACAGTTACATAAATTATCATACATAGCAGCATGTGTGTAGATTATCTAGGATAACCCAAAAGTGTCATCAATTTTTCCCAGGATGCGACCCACACCAGTCAATTAACACCCAGGTACCTACTTGCTTTCTAGGTGAACGGGACAACAGGGGTAAGGAAACATTCCCAATATTTCCACCCTTGCCAGGGATTGAACCATGGACACTGTGTTAGGCGAGAGCATTGCCTACAAGGCCACAGGACACTGTTTTTATTAACATTAAGATTGGCTTACAATAATATATACACCAATGTTAACTAATGTCAGTTAAATGTTATACTATTATAATTGTTATAATCTTACACACTACAATGTTACACAAAAACATAAGAAAAAAGGAGCACTGCAGAAGCCTACTGGCCCTGGTCCAAGTCAGCTACTGTCTGAAGCCAGTCAGGTCCAACCCACATCCACTCATGTACTTATCTAACCTATTTTTAAAACTAGAGAAGGTTTTAGCTTCAATGACGATATTCAGTAGTTTCTTCCACTCGTCCACAACTATTACCAAACCAGCGTTTTCCCACATGCTACAATGATACATGCTATATTGTGATGTTACGTTATATTGCTATAATATTACAGTGGACCCCCGGTTAACGATTTTAATCCGTGCAAGAGGGGTAATTGTTATGCGAAATAATCGTTATGTGAATGAATTTTCCCCATAAGAAATAATGGAAATCAAATTAATCCGTGCAAGACACCCAAAAGTATGAAAAAAAAATTTTTTTACCACATGAAATGTTAATTTTAATACACACAAACTGAAAAAGGCATGCACACTTACATGACACTTACTTTTATTGAAGATCTGGTGATGATTGATGGGATGGGAGGAGGGGAGAGCATTATCTTCTTACTGTTTAGAAGGGGAATCCCCTTCCATTAGGACTTGAGGTAGCAAGTCCTTTTCTGGGGTTACTTCCCTTCTTCTTTTAATGCCACTAGGGCCAGCTTCAGAGTCACTGGACTTCTTTCACACAAGATATCTGTCCATAGTGGCCTGTACCTCTCGTTCCTTTATGACTTCCCTAAAGTGTTTCACAACATTGTCAGTGTACAGGTTGCCAACACGGCTTGCAATAGCTGTGTGAGGGTGATTTTCATCCATGAAGGTTTGCACTTCAAGCCACTTTGCACAGATTTCCTTTATCTTTGTAGTAGGCAACTTCTTCAATTTCTCTTCTCCCCTCCTCTGAACCAGTTTCCCCAGGTCTGGCCTCTTGCTCTTGAAGTTGATCTATCAGCTCATCAGTGGTTATCTTCATTGTCCTCCTCCACCAACTCTTCCACATCCTCCCCACTAACCTCCAACCCCAAGGACTTTCCCAATGCCACAATGGATTCCTCAACTGCATAATCATCTCAGGGTTAGCCTCAAACCCTTCAAAATCCCTTTTGTCTACACATTCTGGCCACAGTTTCTTCCAAGCAGAGTTCAAGGTCCTCTTAGTCACTTCCTCCCAAGCCCTACCTATAAGGTTTACACAATTGAGGATATTAAAGTGATCTCTCCAAAACTCTCTTAGAGTCAGTTGAGTTTTCTGAGGTCATTACAAAGCACCTTTCAAACAGAGCTTTGTGTACAGTTTCTTGAAGTTGGAAATAACCTGCTGGTCCATGGGCTGCAGGAGAGGAGTGGTATTAGAGGCAAAAACTTCACCTTAATGAAGCTCATGTCCCCATAAAGTCGCTCTGGCCACGTCTGTAGGATGACCAGGGGCATTGTCTAACACCAGGAGGCACTTAAGTTCTAATTTCTTTTCAGTTAGGTAATCTTTCACATTGGGGGCAAATGCATGGTGTAACCAGTTATAGAAAAATTCCCTAGTGACCCATGCCTTACTGTTTGCCCTCCACAGCACACACAAATTATCCTTGAGGACATTCTTTTGCCTGAACGCTCTGGGAGTTTCAGAGTGATACACTAATAAAAGGCTTCACTTTGCAATCACCAGTAGCATTGGCACACATGAGAAGAGTAAGCCTGTCTTTCATAGGCTTATGTCCTGGGAGTGCCTTTTCCTCCTGAGTAATGTAGGTCCTGCTTGGCATTTTCTTCCAGAACAGGCCTGTTTCATCACAATTAAACACTTGTTCAGGTTTCAGTCCTTCAGCTTCTATGTACTCCTTGAATTCCTGCACATATTTTTTTCAGCCGCTTTGTGGTCCGAACTGGCAGCCTCACCATGCCTTATCACACTATGGATGCCACTACGCTTCTTAAATCTCTCAAACCAGCCTTTGCTGGCCTTAAATTCACTCACATCATCACTAGTTGCAGGCATTTTTTTAATTAAATCCTCATGCAACTTCCTAGCCTTTTCACATATGATCGCTTGAGAGACGCTATCTCCTGCTAGCTGTTTTTCATTTATCCACACCAATAAGAGTCTCTCAACATCTTCCATCACTTGCGATCTTTGTTTCGAAAACACAGTTAAACCTTTGGCAAGAACAGCTTCCTTCATTGTCTTTTTGGTGCCCACAATAGTAGCGATGGTTGATTGGGTTTCTTGTACAACTTGACTAGGTGCGGCGATACGCACTCCACTTTCATACTTATCAATGATCTCTTTCTTCATTTCAATGGGAATTCTCACCCTTATTGGTGTAGGGTTGGCACTAGAAGCTTTCTTGAGGCCCATGGTCACTTATTTTCCAGAAACAGCACCGAAAACACTGTAATAATACGAAATATTCCAGCGTATGCTTGGATGTTACCGCGGAGGCTGGCTGGTAAACAATGGCACGGCGGCACATGTGAGGCTGGCTGAGGGCGCACATGTGGACGCGTCTCGGACGAAAATCGGTGAGCGGGTTTTTAATCGGTATGCGCGGCAAAAATTTTGCGATTAAAGTAAGCGGTATGCGAAATAATCGCTATGTGATGCCATCGTTATGCGGGGGTCCACTGTATATTGTTATACTGCTATAATGTGTTATACTGCTATAATGTGTTATACTGTTATACTGCTGTAATGTTATACAGTGGACCCTCGAGTTTCGGGAGCATCAACTTTCGTGAAATTTGACCTTCAGCGAATTTTTTTGGCAAAATTTGGCCTCGAGTTTCGTGATTAGACTCGTGTTTCAGCGACTGTCCGGTACCCGTCCGTCACCGTGCACACCAAGCCAGTCTCCCACGCCCTTCACACTCAGTGTGCCATTGTTTACCAACACGTGACCATCACCCCGCGGGTTCATACAATACATTTCATAATAATCCATTGTTTTTTGTGCTTGGAACTGCTAAATGAGTCATCATGGACCTAAGGAAAGCTAGTGCAAGCCCTTTGGTAAATAAAGTGAGGAACACAATCCAGAGGGATTTTGAAGAGTTTGAGGCAGACCCTGTCCCTGCCGACCCTCTGCCTGTTGTGAAAGGTGTTGTGGCATTGGGCAAGTCCATGGGGTTGGAGGTGACGGGGATGTGGAAGAGTTGGTGGAGGACCACAGGGAAGAGCTAACCACTGACAAACTGCAAGAGCTTTAACTGGAACAGCATCAGACCACAGCCGAGGAACTTGCTTCAGAGGAGGAGGAAAAGAGAGTGAAGGAGGTTTCTTCTTCAGTGATTAACCCTTTGACTGTCGCAACCCCCAATCCTGAGGTGTCTCCTGGTGTCGCAAAATTTAAAAAAAAAAAAAATTATTTTTTCTTATGAAATGATAGAATCTTTTCCCGATTGTAATGACACTAAAAAAACGAAATTTGATGGAAAACTGACGGAATTATGCTCTCGCGAAGTTAGCTACCTCGGCGCTGTTTACAAATTGGCGATTTCGTCCACTTTGAGCCCTATTTTCGGCTAATTCCCTTGTTCCAGTCGCCCAAACTCATAGCTATTTCTTTAGAACTCCATTTTTTCTATCGATTGAGTACAAGAAACTGCCCATTTACCGATTTCAACTACCTAATAATGTGGTCAGAAATTTTCAATTTGGCCAATTTCACGAAAACTAAAAAATATGACAATTTCAAAATAAGGTCCAGAATGAACAATGCAGACATTCCTGGCTCTAAAATAACATTTTCTTTGTTCGTCAGTCACGTCTCCAGGCCCCTCTGATATTACTCTTGCTTTCTATTTTGAATTTTTATTCAAACAAAAAATAGAAGACTTACTATTATGCAGACTACTGCAATACTGTAATAATTGCATAAATAACATCAACCCATTCATGACTGCATATTAGAATGGCTAGTTGGACATTTATTGGACAATGGCATCATTTGTTTACTTTTGAACATTGGCAAAAATCAAACATTTCCCCTATTTTGAGCTCCATTTCTAGGTTCTTTTTATAGTAAAATCAATCAAAATCACCTCTATTTCTATAATATGTTTTCCATTCTATCAAATGAGACCAAGAAAACGAGAATACAACAATAAATACTATACGAAAATAGACCACAAAGTCGGCATTTTAATTAAAAAAACG